CCTGGGGGCGAGGCAGGGGCAGCAGCTCCACGAGCCCAGCCTGTCCCTGCCACCCCTTGCGGGGCCGTTACCCCTCCGTGCTGGCAGCCCGGGCAGCAGGGCTGGTGTAGTGGCTGTGGGGACCATCCTCCTCTGCAGCGCCCAGCAGGTCTGTGGTGAGACAGGGTTGGCTGTGCCACTCACTGGGCAGAGACCTACACAGCCCTGGCGGGTGTATTTGGAGAGGGGCTCCACACAACTCGATCAGGATTCACTTACCAGGGTCTGGCGCATCGGCTGCATTTGTGTCAGGGTCCCTCTTTGTCCGTCTCCTTTCTCTGGAACAAAGTCAGGACAGCGTTAGGTAGATCACAGGTGGTGGCTCAGCACAGACAGGCTGTGCCTGCAGTGCCAGGAGCAGGGACAGCAGGGCCAGTTAGTGCCCAGCAGCTCCAGCTTCGGCTGGGCACCGAAACGCAGTCCCACTTCCAGCGTGAACCAGCTCTGGCCACCAGCAGAGGGGAACCCCGGGGAAGCGTCGCCTCCAGACTGGCAGGAAGCACGGGGGGACTCGGTGATCGATGGGGAGAAGGCAAGTTCATGGGCAAGCAGAGGGGCAGGACGCAAGGCAGCTTACGGTGGTGAATTCATCCTGGTGGCAGCTGCAGGTGGTGGGGAGCTCACAGGAGATGGTGGATGGGACAGTTCAGAGCCGATGTCAGAAATGTCTGCGGTGATGAGACACGTTAGTCCCCTGTGCTGTGTATTGGGCTCTGGGCCTCGTTGCCGTGTGCCCTTACCATCCATGTGGGAGCTGCCACTGTGGCTGTCTGCCAGGTCAGGAATGTTGACCAGGAACTGCCGGTGGTCCCGGAGGACGAGCAGGGTCAGGATCCCCTCCGTGCACTCAATGAGTTGCTGGGTATCAGCCAGGGACATGTTCTCACTGGCCACCCCGTTGATCTGGAGAGGAGGACACAGGAGGGTGTTTGCTCATGGGGAAGCTGTCTCTTGGGAATAACTCTGCTCATCCAGGAGCTGCCGTGGCAGGACCCTCAGCTGCAGCTCAGCAGGTCCCGTCTGTGCCCTCCTGCCTCCCGCTCCCCTGGCTCTGCACGTTGGGATCTGTCCCCTTTCCCAGCTGCCTCCCTGCGAGGCCTCATCCGTGTGCAAACAGAAACCAACGGAGCAAGGTCGCTGAATCCCCTCATTTGGCCAGATGGCACCACATGGGGACAGGAGCCGCAGGGCCCTGCTCGGATGCTATTTTAAGCTCAGTTTTACTTTAACCTTTGCTCAGTGCTGTTTTTCCAACGCACTGAACTAGTGCCAGTGAGAGTCAGGCTCACATGGGTGGGGGGGTCCTGGTCTCCCCGAGTTGCCCCTAGGTTCTTTCAGTTGGGCTGGGCCAGAGTGTAATCCCTGTCAGCCTGAGCCCCTTCGGTCCCTGCTCCCACATGGCCATGGGGCCACCTGGCCCATTCGTGCGCAGCCCTCTGTTTTATCTTCCCCAAATACCTTTCATCTAATCACTGGCCTGACACACCCTGAACATCCGAGCTCCTCTCGTCAGCTGCTCCGCGCATGCTGCGACGGGACCCCGTGGGAGCCGGCGCAGCTGAGCAGCTCCCCAAGGCCCCCGTGCAGCCACAGATGCGGGCACCAGATGGGGAGTCCTCCAGGTAAGCTGGCATTCCAGCCGAGGAAAACAGCCCTTTGGCCCATCCTTTCCTTCCCTGCTCGCTGCTCAGCCCGACAGCTCCACCGAGCTGCCAGCAAGGGTCGGGAGAGGCCGATATCCCCCCGCCAACACTGGCCCCGCCAGGCGCTGGTACCTTCAGGATGAGGTCTCCCTCCCGCAGGCCGCCGCGCTCGGCCGCCAGCCCATCCTCGGAGATGTGCTTGATGAAGAGCTGGCTCCCCAGCTTCAGGCCGTACTCTGCAGCAGAGAGAGCCCATGACGGAGCCAGGCGGACATGGCCCCTCCTCACCACCATGGAGCCCGACGCGGCTCCTGCCAAGGCGCTCGCGGCCCCGAAGTTGAGCTCTGGGCTGAGGCCGGGGGGGCTTGGGGCGCACAGCGCCCTACGTTGCCCCCTGACGCTGGGCACAGCCACCACCCCCTCCCCAGGGAACACAGGGGCCACGACTCAGGCGGCAGAGGGAAAGGGAAGGCCCTACCCTCACTCTGCCTCCGTTTCACCAGCACTGACGTGACTGGCTTCGGCAGCACCTCCTGGCGCGGCAGCCGCTTTGGCGCCGGCTCCGGGACATCGATTTGGAATGGCGCCGCTCATGCCGGTGGTGGCCGGAACTCTCGCTGGAGGAGTCCCCGTCATAGCCCTGGCTGTGGCGCAGGTCGTCCCGGGAGTGCTGGGTGCCGGACACGCGCGGGGCCGCCTCGGCGCCATGGCCCTCGTCATGCTCCTCATCCGAGTCACCCCGCGGGGCCTCGCGGCTCTTGCTCACGGGCAGCTGGACCTTCCTGGGCCTCTTGAGCGTCTGCGGGTGGAAAGGAGCAGAGCAGCGGGTGAATAAAGCTGCCTCTGCCAGGAGATGTTTCTGCGGCTTTTTCCAGGCCCATGATGGGAATCAGGGCTGAGGGGGAGCAGAGGGACGTCTGAAGCTGCTCAAGAAGGGACCCAGTCCTGAGACCCACGGAGCCCCTCTCAGTAGGCGCAGCCCCCTGTGCTCCAAGGAGGTGCCATGGCCAGACCAGGGAAGGGGGGTTCCCATCCTGGAAAATCCCATCTGGAAGCTGTTCCTCCAATAACCAGTGTCAGTCACCCTTAACGTGGCCCAACGGTGGAGCTGCTCAATCAGGCACCCTGAAGATGTCCACGGGAGACGAGCACGGACACGGCAGAATGGAAGGGAGCAGACAACGCCATGTGCGATGCCCCGCTACAGCCACACTCACGATGTTGGCGATCTTGCCGCAGGTCTTAAGCGTCTGGATGGCGAAAGAGGAAGCAACATTCTCCATGGAAAGGCCATTCACCATCACGATGTGATCCTTCAGCCTGCGGGGGAAAACGCGGCCTGGCCTGGACCCAAACGGGAACAATTTGCTGCCCGTCCTACGCCCAGTTGCTGGGAGCGATCCCGCTCTCCCTGCATCCTGCACACTCACTGGAGCCGGCCGGCCGCCGGTCCCCCAGACACCACATCCGAAACGAACACGGCTGTGTCCCCTGTCGTCTTGCTGGGACGGTCCCGGCCTCCGGAGACAGCGAAGCCAAAGCCTCGCTGAGAGTCCTGGCACAGACAGGCAGAGAGGCGTGAGGGGGAGCGGGAGCCGGGCAGACCTGGAGAGGGAGCCGCAGCCCCTGGCGCAGCCGCGGCCACCGTGCTCACCTTGCTTAGCGTCACCGTGTGCTGCTCCCAGATCGTCATCTCCTCCATGGCTGCGACCTGCCGGGGAACGGGGAGGTCAAGGAGAACGCGAGGAGGGATGCGGGATCCCCACGCTGGGCTGCAGCGGGTGCCTTGCCCAGAGCCGCCCTCGGGCTTGGGCACAGACCTTGACCACATTAATAAAGCTGTGGAGCCCGCGCGGGGCGGGGACGAGCGTGGCTGCCGCTTTATGGCCTCTATCGC